CTAAATTTTAATATGAATCTTATTAATTGTAGTTATTTTAACATTTTCGAAGGGACTTTTTATAAAGCTATTATTAGATCGTCCTGTATCTATATGTCTGTGTAACGGAATGTAGGACCTCGCGTGAGTCCGCACGGGTAGGCACCACCACCCCGCCTATTTCTGCCGTGAAGCAGCAATGCGTTTCGGTTTGAAGGGTGGTGCAGCCGTTTTAACTATACTGAGACCTTAGAACTCATATCTCAAGGTGGGTGGCGGGTAGATTGGGCTATTTTAACCCAACTTGTAGTGCTATTTTCTTTATATCTTCTTCCCATCTATATTTTTATTTTTTTATTGCTTATATGGGTGGACGAGCTCACGGCTCACCTGATGTTAAGTGGTAGCCGGAGCCTATAGACATCTACAACGTAAATGCCGTCACCCACCTTGAGATATGTTCTAAGGTCTCAGTATGATTTTGTTGTAACATTCCATTCCCATGACATCATTTAAAACTGAAGTTATCTTTTGCTGTTATTGGGGGAATTCCCGGAAAGTATTTTGTTTTTGAAAATAGAATATTTTTCTGTGACCCTCGCTCCCTACCTTTTGTAGTAAATTTCAAAAAGTAAGTTAATTCACCCGCAAATGTAGGTATGTAGCTTGGATAGTTCCGGTCAAAAAATACCTATGGATGGGATAAGGACCAAGGATAAGAAGCACGCAACCCGCCCAGCATTTCTAAAATTGAATTTATTTTATCGATTTTCTCATTTCTGTTCTTTTCTTGTTTGTTTTTTTTTTCTTGCATTAAAATTTGTTTAAGAAATCTTTAGTTTTTTTTTAGTTTTATATTTTTTTATTCTAATATTTTTACGGTTAGCGTGGTATGTACATGTGATGCGTAGAGAGGAGATGCATGTGACTAGGAGATGTATAGAAATGGTAGTGTAAGGTAGAGGGGGAAGATGTCGCCCGAAGAAGACATGGATGGAGTGTGTAAATGACGATATGAGAGAGAGAGAGAGGTGTGAGTGTTGAGCTGACGGTTGATAGAAGAGAATGGAAGAAAAAAATTTACTTGTGCCGACCCCACCTAGTGGGAGAAGGTGGAGAAAAAGAAGAAGAAAATTTATTATAAACTAGCTGACCCGGCAGACTTCGTAGTGCATCAATCGATAAATAAAAGACACATCAAGGAGACACATCAAAGGAAAAACAAAATTGTTTGTTTTTATATAATTACGAGCTGTTTTTGTATTTTCTCACCTTTTAAACCTTCCCTGGACTTCCACAAATAATTCAAGACCAAAATTAGCCAAATCGGTCCAGCCGTTCTCGAGTTTTAGCGAGACTAACGAACAGCAATTCATTTTTATATATAGAGATAAAGTTTCGTAATTTATTAATAAGAGTTATAATCTATGTGCGGTCCGCCAAAAACAAATAAAATTTAAATTGGCCCATTGATGAAAAAGGTTGCTCACCCCTGGTTTAGACTTTGGGGTTATATACGACAAAGGGAAGATCTTCCACCGAGCGAGTGATATTGCTCGGTAGACCGACGCGACGCACACTGTATTATTATCGAGATCTAGCAGAACTTAATTCAATCTTGCGTGAATTTATCTTTTTTTAATTTTACGTGTCATAAAATGTTAATATTAGATGTTATTTCGTATTTCTAAATAAATAAATAACATTAATTATTCATAAAAATCATTTATTTCTTTATTTTCTTTAAAAATATTATTTTTAATACTGCAACTTTGTTCTAAATACACAAGAAATATATTTTACACCCCTAAATATATTCAAAAGACTAAAAAAAATTCGCATAACCTTCTACCCATCTTCCTCCGTCGAGTAAGTTTCTTCTCCCATGTTCTATTTTGCACTGTTGATTTGGAAGATAGAAGTGGATCTGAACCTAACAGAAATCGGTTAAGTACGTCTCGATTGGTGTTAATTCTGCTTGTTTTCCTGCTGAAATACTCGCGATTCCTCCTATATTCCTTATTGTTCGCTTCTTGAGCTTCTTCTGCTAATTGGTCCAAAGGTAAAACGCATGTTTCAATTACTTCTATTGAGTGTGAGAGGATTTTGTGTATACTAGAAGGCATGTAGTACCAGGAACAATGTACTAAATAAAGTTTTCTTGTCTCTTCGGCATATGTCTTGTGCCTCCAAGATAACAGAAATGTTTGATTAAATCCAGATTGATCCCTGTTATTTTCGCTTACGTTTCTCCCATTTAGATTGTATTTTTGCTGTAAGACTACTTATTAACATTTGAAGTGATCGTGGAGGGTTTCTACAGTCCTCTATGTCATAATATTGTAGTATTTTTTCAATTATAAGGTTATTTTGACCTTTTTTTTATTACTTGGAAACCATATATTAAAAATATCTCGCCTTTTCATTGCGCTGAAAACAAAAAAAAATGTATGAGCGGGGCAAATAGGAGCAAGGGATTCCAACTAAATTTCAAAGAACATTAACCGTAGAATACTATAACAGTGATTTCCCGGTGTATACACTTGCATACATTTTTAAAAGTCAACACTAATACAAAAATAAATTTTTTTTCAAGGACTTCAGCAAAAACGTTAATAATTAATAACATTTCAATATTATAAGGTTCAAACTTACCTTAACGTATCCTCGATGATATAACAAACGATAAAAATGACCAATTATAGCACTTTAAACGACAAGAACAGACCTGTTCGCATTCTGCAATAAAGCAAAACTAAACAATACACTCGTGCTAGTACGCATAAACTATGTTTCGAGACTTCCCTTGTGTTGTATGGTGTTACACACTTTTTTTTTTTTAAAATATCGGTTATTTGGTTATACACCTGTGCAATAAAGGGAGTTTTAAGAATATTTAGAAGAGTATTATTTTTAATTAAGTTCTGCTAGATCTCGATAATAATACAGTGTGCGACGGTCCGAATGTTGTTGTTCGGAACTTGTATATATGCGCTTTATCTTGAAAATGTCGTAAGCGAGATTCAGGCATCTGTCAATTATCTTGCGTTGTATGATGGCTACCCGCCAAAAGACGAATACGTTTTTAAAAACTATGCCTGTCCCTGGTGATGAATGGTATTCAAAACCACGAATATCATCGCAGAGGAGACGAAGATGAGAATTTTATCTCGGAATGAAATACAGTGCAATCTTGATGTAACAATTCGGAAGGGAACAAGTAAATATTCCTTATATCAAATAATTCGGTAATCAGTTTACCGGTTTTCGGTTTGTTATATTAAAGTAGGTCTACCATAATTTTTTATTGGTGGTAGGACCTCTTGTGAGTCCGCGCGGGTGGGTACCACCACCTTGCCTATTTCTGCCGTGAAGCAGTAATGCGTTTCGGTTTGAAGGGCGGGGCAGCCGTTGTAACTATACTTGAGACCTTAGAACTTATATCTCAAGGTGGGTGGCGCATTTACGTTGTGCATGTCTATGGGCTCCAGTAACCACTTAGCACCAGGTGGGCTGTGAGCTCGTCCAACCATCTAAGCAATAAAAAAAAAATTGCAAAAAAATGACGAGGTAAAAAAAAAGTTTTATTTACCTCAACATTACTTACTGATCCTCCCACCCCAGTTTTAGTCACTTCTTCTTACAATAATTACAGTACAGATTCTTGCGATAATTCATGAAAATATATTCGAGTTACGACAGTGGCTAATGTCGTCTGATGTCAATTGATTTGTATTTGCTTTAGTGTCATCATGCAGGAAGACAATAGGGGAACGTGTCTGTGTGGACTAAATACCGCCCGCGCTTCCACTAGTTTTTATTTTATTTTATGATTGAAGCTTTACTGGTGGCCCGGAGGCCTTTCCAGTTTTACCAGGACAGGTAGGCGAGCAAAGTCTCAGCCAGGAGGGTTGGGATTTGCTAACAGCTGCCCGAGCGCCTCCGAAAGAGACCTAATAACTCAAGCAGTTGCTTCGCGAATGAATCTACGACCGGATCGGAATCGCGACCCGCTGAGAAGATCCGGCGAGAAACTCAGCGGATTGATGCTTAAGTTAGTTTCGCTTGTGATCCAGTCGCGTTGTCAGACTTAGAATTCGATCAGGCTGTTTCGTACGTTATGGGCTAAAGACGTGCATAGTTTCTAGGCAGCGGTGTGACCCTGCTCCTGGCATTGCTGACGTCCATGGGCGATGGTAATCACTGGCCATCAGATGGGCCGTATGCTCATCTGCCTATGAGGGCAATAAATACTTCGTCGTGTGTGGCCACGAAGACTGTTATTCGAATTGTCGGAAATAATTTAAAGAACAATAACCAAAAAAAAAACGAAACTAAATCGAACATGTACTTAGTTCTAAAAGTGTCGCTGGTAGCGGACGATAGCACGAGGATGTGTTTCCGGTTTTCTTGGTCACAACCAAAGAACTTTTCCATTATCGACAGCATCTCTATTTAGGTGCCCGACTCCGTAATTGTCCGCCTAATTTCTATTTAAGTGCTTGAACCGACATTTTTTAATGTCCTCGAAGTCAGACGAGTTGATGGCCTCGACGAGGGCCACTCTGTCGCTCAAGGTCGCCAAGCAAGCACATCGGAATCACTCCTAGGTCAAGAGTTGAGGTCTCATTTCCGGTCTCATCTCAGGCCCGTGACGGCACTTAAGAATATACCGCGGAGGGAACAGTTTTAGCGGCTGATGTGGTACGTGGCGTTAATACGTGGGACCAACGCGGCGATTCTACGTATTACTGATGCTGCCATGACGGTGGGTGGTGCTACCAAATAATATGATAACGGAATGATACATACGCATTTAGTATTAATAACCTAAAATTTACCCCCCAATTCTCGCCTTAACTGCGTAGGGAGTTCCACTGTTTATTCGCAGATAACATTGGCGGCTATATTCAAGAGGTCAATGCGACCTCGCGTCTCAAGGTGGCGGGTATGATGGCACATGGGGGAAGGCTTTATCGCTCTCAACGGCCTTTCCCGGACGAATTAAAACAGTGACTTACGCGTGTAATATTTTTTGTCGGACTGCTGTCCCCAGCAGAGGGCCGACCATTGTTTCTGGACTCCGGAACACGTGAACTGGCCTCTCCCGCAGCTAGTACAGCCTGGCACGGTCAGCACCGTGTCCTCTCTGATCAAGACCTTCCCAACACCAGGGGCGGGCGTTGAGACCTTCTCAACGTCTTTCGTTATCATCGGCACTGCAGTGTTCTTGTCGCCGTTGAGATTTTCCATGTTCAAATCCAAACTTCGCTTGGCATTATTTTGCGATTTGCGATTCGTGGCGCGTTGCGGTGCGTCTACACCCGATTACGGTCCGAGCACGACTGGACGTCTCCGCGCGACCTATAACATTATTCTTTAGTAAATGGGTTATCGAGTTATCGTAAATATGTTGTTTTTTTTTTATCTGTTGCAGCACGCCGCTGCGGCCTGTAGTTGTCTTAGGCTTGAAGTTTTGATTTAAGGTCGTTTAATAGGTCGGGTCGCAGCGGTTAACGTAGCTGCCGATGTCATTGGAACGATAATTGTGAGGAATGCACGTGAAGAGCTGCCGCGTTAAGCGCAATGTATCGAAATCAAAAAAAATTTGACGCCCAGATTCTAAGGAGTCGCGCGCACGCCGAGGCATATTTGAAGGCTGTTTCGCGTTAGATTACCGGTTCGCGAATAGTGAAATAAAACTAAAACCTTACCTAATTGTTTATGCTTGTTTTGGTAAATTAATATTGTTACTCACTTAGGTTAGGTTCGTTCCTAGACGGTATGTTTAAATGTTTATTTATGCTCATTTTATTTTATCGAACAAAATGGTACCTACATACTTTAGTTAAATATAAATGAACTATATTAGAAAATGTTGTGAATTTTCTTTAAAAAAATGCAAAGAAGCTATTTCCCCAACCTATGATATTTTTGCAATAACAGTCAATGCAATAACAAATGAAGCCTTTTCTTGTGGCCTATCATACCTTGATTTTGTTGGCGCATACAAAAGACAGCTTCGTTTGAAGTTTTATCTGTTGAAATTCGTTTTACAGACAATGGTGTTCTCCTGCCTACTCTATCGAATGCGCTATCGGATTTTTTTTTATAAATGATCTTCAAAATTATTATTGGAATTCAATGTTTTTTTTGTTTTGCTTTTTTCTTTTTCCTACGTAACCTGATAACTTTAGAAGGCTATGCTAGCGTAACCTAAGTATTGGGTGACGGGACTCTAATCTGTGGTCAAGAAGTTCACCCGTCATTGGTTAACTGTATCACGCCGAAAAGTGTTTAGTTTTTGGCGGATAGAATAGTAAAAAGTAAATAACGCAGTGTGGGACGGCCACCTACGAGATGGACCGACGACCTGGTAAGAACCGCTGGGTCACGTTGGATGCAGGTGGCAACGGACCGGCCGCACTGGAGATCACTTGGAGAGGCCTATGTTCAGCGTTCAGTGGACAATGGACAGGCTGAGATGATGATGATGAGAATAGTAATCATTTCGAAGCCAACGAGGCTCCACTTCAAGACCCAAAGCGGGGGCATGTCTGCCTCCTGATCATCATTATCCTGCCCTTCTCCCAGTCACCTGGGGTCGGCGCAACATGTTTTCTCCTTCCATACTCCTCTATCATATACCATTTCTTCGCTCACTCCCCTCTTACACATATCGTCTTTCACGCAATCCGTCCATTTCTTCTTAGTTCTACCTCTCCTCTATATCCTTCCACATTCATAGTTAACATTCTCTTACCAACATCATTTTCATTTCGTCTCATCACGTGTCAATACTATCCCAAACGCGCGCTTCTCAGCTTCTCTGTCACAGGTGCCACTTTCAGACTTCCTCTAACATATTCATTCCGCTTTCTATCCATTCTCGTTACTCCGCACATCCATCGCAACATTTGCATCTCTGCTGAATGCAATCGCCTTTCATCCGTCACTTTGTCTGCCCCCTGATGTCCCCAACAGAAAAACATCAGATTCAAACACACACAGTAAATATTGAATGTATTTAAAAACGATTTTTTTACTGTATGTAATCATGTCGGCGGACATTGATAATTTGATGATCTTGTCAAAACCCGAACGTCATGATTTCTTATCTCTTTAAGGTCAGAGGCAATGAAAACAGGGGAGAACGCAAAAAAATATAACAATTCGTTCCGATAAAGGGTCGCGTATCGAAAACGAAAGCTGTTAATGTTTGAATTTTTATTTATTGAATTTGTAGGAAATAAAAATACCCACCTGATGGTGAGTGGTTACAGTCGCCCACGGACGTCAGCAAGAGCAGGCAGAGCCAAGCCGCTGCCTACCGTTAACTACACTCCGCAAGCCTCGTTTGAAGAAGGAAAAAATAATGTTTGTTCTCTTTAAATTTGTGATTAAAGGTAGGTACCTACACAAAATAAACATGTTTCCAGCATTAGCGCAACACATGACTAGATAGAAATAACTAAAATTATTGTCCTAAAATTTCTAATTATTCAATAAAATAAAACAATAGAAAAACATAATATTATTTACATTAGGAACCTATCTAAACAAAACAAAATTGTATTTATGTATTTCGCAAGTGACATAAATAAAAGATGTCTTATTAATAAATAATCAACGCTGGAGAAGTTCCAATTATGTACGAATACATAATTTGCAAAGTACAACATCAGATTCTAGCTTATGATGAAGTCGTCGTGGCATAAAGGATAAGACGTCCGGTGCATTCGTGTGCGATGCACCGGTGTTCGAATCCCGCTGGCGGGTACCAATTTTTCTAATGAAATTCGTACTTAACAAATGTTTTGGGTATTAATATATACTAGAGGTCCCGCAGTAGTCGAAATTCGACTTTAATTAATTGGAATTGTAAGTTTGTACACTATTATGATTGTATTTTATACTTCTATAATTAAAAATTTCGCCAAGACTACACTATGAAAAATATTAACAAAGACAAACAATATTTAATCTCAATTTGACAACAGACATCAAGAACAAAAGTTTGACAATAAATAGTATGCATGCGTGTGTGCGTCAAATACATGGTATGTAGTGTGTGTGATGTTTTCTTTATTGATTTAATGTATCTTTTATGCATTATTTAAAAAAAATATTAGCATTGTGCACTTCTTCTCTATATTCTCTATAAGTGTGGAAAATTTCAGACTCCTCCGTCCGCGCAATTTTCGTAAAAAGGGATACAAAGTTTTTGCTTCACGTATTAATATATAGATTAGTCGTTCACATATGACTTATGTTACAAGCTAGATCTTTTTTTATAGCCTGTAATGTGCATTGTGGGGTTTATAAATAAATTATTTAACAAAGAGATGGGACCAGGTAATACTTCCTTGTACAAACACATGATCCAGGATAACACATGAGAACAGAAAAAAAAATAGAATCAGAACGGCCGCCAGAGTCAATCAATGAGAGGATGTGACAATATTCTCTGTTTGTCGCGTCTCAGGTCATTGACTTTACGATCGAATGAATATTGCGTATTTTATTTAGACAGGACAGACAGGACAGGCATAGGAACCTATGGAGATCGCTTCAGTATCTGTTTTTTTTTCGTACCTTTTTCTTATTGCTTATTTGGGTGGACGAGCTCACAGCCCACCTGGTCTTGTAGATTGTAGATGTCTATGAGCTTCGATAACCACTTAACACCAGATGGGCCATGAGCTCGTTTACCCATCTGAGCAATAAAAAAAAAGGTATTCCGAAAAAACAAAAAAATTTTTTTTACTTTATCAATGTAAATGCAAAATAAATTTCCCCATTTAAATCCTTAGTGATGATTTTAATGATAATTATTTATCATTCGTCAGTCATACTGTCGTTTCCTGTTTCTCTTATCATAGTATCGTAGTGAACGTGCCTTCAATTCATCGTGATGCCAGCTTAAAACATTTTTTACATGTATTAACTGTAGTATCATTCATCAAAAGGCATTTTATTGCTTGTGTGGGGGGTCGAGCTCACAGCCCACCTGGTGTTATGTGGTTCCAGGAGCCCATAGACATAGAAAGACATAGAAAAATAAGGTGTTAGTTTAAAATTAAAATAAAATGTACATATTTTCACCGCAAAATTATAATTATCAAACCCGCAAAATTATAATTTGCGTAATTACTGGTGGTAGGACCTCTTGTGAGTCCGCATGGGTAGGTACCACCGCCCCGCCTATTTCTGCCGTGAAGCAGTAATGCGTTTCGGTTTGAAGGGTGGGGCAGCCGTTGTGACTATACTGAGACCTTAGAACTATATCTCAAGGTGTGTGGCGCATTTACGCTGTAGATGTCTATGGGCTCCAGTAACTACTTAACACCAGGTGGGCTGTGAGCTCGTCCACACATCTAAGCAATAAAAAATAAAATAAAAAAATCCAGTAAATTATACAATCTCGTTGCAATAGGCATCTTTACTTTGACATCATGATTTATTTACTTTGTTCGCATACAGTATTTAACATTCAATGATACTTATCTTAGAAACATTGCAAGTGATTACACAGATTTAACTTAAAAAAATCAACGCTGGATTAATTGACGATACAGCTAGCGCCATCTATTTTTGTTATTCGGAACATCAGGCCACATCATTAAACGCATTAGCTATGACGGAGTCGAACAGAGATAATAAATACACTTATAGATTTATTAACTAACGCAAAACGTTAGAAATTTTACAGTATTTTAGACGGAAGGTGGCACTTGTTTTAAATATATTTTGCCTTAGTACTAAAGTTACATTCCTCTGCAGTCGAAGACCGAAATAATAGAGAATAATAAATAAGCGAGCCAACTGATTTTCTCACTGGATCTTCTCAGTGGGTCGCGTTTCCGATCCGGTAGTAGATTCTGCGAAGCACTGCTCTTGCTGTGGTCAGTGTTAGCAACTTCGCCAGGTTAGAGCCCCGTGAGCTCACCTACTAGTTCGGTAACGCTGATATAGGCTCTTAAGGCTATCAGCATAGGTTGAAAAAAAAAAGGTAAAAAGCATCATGGTGTATAGGGGACAAGTCGAAGTGTCCAGGGCCCTGAAACTGCGATACTTTAAGACAAATATTTTTTCTGTATGGAAACTAGCGACATCTTGTAGCGGATGCCCTTAAACTTATATGTTGTTAAAGCTAAGGCATTTAATTATTGTATAACTAAACACAGAAAATAATAAAAAGTAATAAATCTTACAAGCCTTTATTTGTTATAGACAAATTGATTAAATTTTAT